TTTTTTCCTCCCTTGTGTGAGTTAATGTTCTATTCAAGTCCATGAAAGTCTTCCCGTATGGCTCGACGGGTATGGCTGTATAAAGAGTCTCCATTCAAGTCAGTGCTGTTCTTTGCGTAGGTCTGTGTGGAGGGAGTGCTTCTGGCAAAACAACTGTAGCCAATAAGATCATTGAGGCGCTGGATGTTCCCTGGGTGGTTCTGCTCTCCATGGACTCCTTCTACAAGGTACTCGACAGGTGGCGTGTGTCGTATCGAATGTGGAGAAGTCTACACACCCCTGTTCAAATGTGACAGAAGCAATAAAACCAAGATAAGTCAAGTCAACTTGCCACCGTTCATGTGACCTCGAACCTGTGCAACTCTTAAATGAAGTCAGCACGGTGACCCCAAATAAGCTGTTTGTGTGTGTTTTTTGTTTTTTTTTACACAAGGTACTGACCAAAGAAGAGCAGGAGCTGGCGGCCAACAACGAGTACAATTTCGACCACCCAGACGCCTTCGACTTTGAACTGCTGGTCAATGTCCTGCGAAAGCTGAAGAAAGGCAAAAGCATCAAAGTGCCCGTGTATGATTTCACGTCTCACTCCAGACGCAAAGAATGGGTATGTGTCACTTTTTACATTCAAACACAGTTCAGAGCAAGTGGGAGTTAAGGAAAAGGTGTTTCAAGAATTGCAATCGCGTGCTAAGAATATGTAATCATTTTTCATCAGAAACTGAACATTTTTGGCAATTTTTAACACCCCCCCTTCGCAAAAAATGCCGTTTTCATCAAAATTGGACATGTTTAGCATTCAATCAAATTATACAATCAAAATGTCAGTTTTGTGATTCTTCTTCAGAAACGTTTTTCTTTTTTTAATGGAAATCACATTTTTTTTAATTGTTTTCCCTTTTGTTTTTATTTACTTGTCGGCTTCCAAGTAATGATTTTTTTTCTCGCCCCAAAATAGCTTTTTTTGGGGTCACAGAAACATTTATTTTTGTCAAAATAGTTTTAAAAATCTGCCTAAATAATATCCTCATTTCCATTTGATTTTTTGATAATTTATCATCAAATTGTTGTCTTTTTTTGCTTACTTTTTTTGTGGGGCCAAGTTTCGACAGTATATTTTCCTTTAATTCATTCAATTTTTAAAATATATTTACCACTTGGTTGTTTTTTATTTTGTCAAAATTGTCAGTTGTCATTTTTGGTTTCAATCAAGCTCGTTGTCAGTTCTGGACATCATTTTCTTTTTTTCAAAGTTCATTTTTGACCATTGACATCAAAACATTCCATTTCAGCAGATCTTTTCCATCGTGTTGGTGAGGTGTGGCTCTAAAGATCTGTTAAAATGTACAATTAAGACGCATGACACATAGATACTAATTGTGCTGGCGAAAGTGAATCTTTCTACAAATCTGCACTTTCACATTACGACTGGCTGTATAAAGAAAATCAGTAACATAACATTTTTTATTTCAAAATAACTTGTAGTCAGTCTTATCCTTGCTCCCCAACGTGTCACCAACATCATGTACAGATTTAAAAATCCTCCCAACAGCACTTCTTCCATTGACGTGCTAAAGTGCTAATTATCATAGCATTAGCGCAAAGCCCCCCTCGCGCACCCACGCGCACGCCCAAACTCGGCAGCGACGACTGTTCTCTATTTCTTGGCGATGTAATTTCATGGCTGAAAGGCACAAAGCCACATGGGAAATGGCCTGTCCGCACTCACAAATCCTTTTATGGGCGCTTTGGAGCGGCTGCTGGTAATTAAAAGCCTGAAACAACCCCCCCCCGTGTCTCCCCTTAAGGGTGCCGCATGCTCTCTTTTTCTCCTTCTTCTTCTGCTACGATGGTCCATCAGGAACTTCACTGTGGTTCAGGTGGTCACGCTTGAACGTGTTGAGTACGCACTAAATCAGGTGTGAGGAGAGGGTGCACTCACACACACACTCACACACTATATATATATCGCGGTCGATAAACACTCATCGGTTTCTTTACAATTCACATCAAGATTGCCGCTTTGTCTCTTCTCGGCTGCGCACTGTTGGTCAGCTTTATCGACTCCCACGCGACACTGATCGAGAACTGGCTGTTGACGGTGTTGTGCGCTCACCGCCATTTTCTCTTTGGAGCTCCGTTATAAACTCTTTGTCACATTGGCTGAATTTGATTTTAAAAAAACAAAACATTGATTTAGGGGGAGGACTGAGTGATTTTGTTATCCGAACCGTGCGTTTAAAAAAAAAAATAATAATAATAATAATTACCCAGCCCCCCCTCCACCTCATTAATATGCGATTACTTTTTTCTAGGTCTTCATCCCCTGTCATTTTTTTCAACAAACCCAAGCAATGAATCTGCGTTACAATAAATAATCAGATTTATTATCCATAAATAATTTGGTTTTATCTCCGCCTTACACTAAAATAAATCAAACCATAAATGAATTTGAAAGACGGTTTATTCTTGTTCTTCAGTTGGGAGTGAGCTTATAAAACACTTAGACTTGCAGACACGTCACAAAATTCTACTAAACAAGCACAGCTTGTAAATTAGATGACAACAATAATGCAAAACGTTCCCTGCTTTTTTTCCCTCCTTTCCAGAAAACTGTGTACGGCGCCAATGTTGTCATCTTTGAGGGAATACTGGCCTTTGCCAACAAGGAACTGCTCAAGGTTTGTTTGTTTTTTTTTTTTTTTTTTTGTGAAAGCTATCTTCTTTTATAGCGGTGTGTTCTGCCCACACCGTGCGTGCGTGCGTGTGCGGTTTGTGAGCTGGACCGTGGCGATAAGGCCGTCCGCCTCCCATGGGAACTTCCTCCATCACAGTTAATAACGACCCGTGTCTGGGCGGTGATGAATGGCGTTTAGTGGACATCCGTGCGGACTAGTTGCAGAGATGGGAAATGGAATGATTTGGTAATGAGGCGCACCGCTGGGCAAAAGCGTTCGTGCTCGTGGGCCACTTCATTAGGTACACTTGCACGCTCCCTTGAGATCCTTCGACCTGACTCCACCTGGATAAGTCGCCACTTATAGACAGGGTTGAACAACTTCTATATTTGGGGAGTCAACAACCATTATTCAATGACTTAATCGATATTTTACAGTCAGAAATGGAAGTCACTCCCGCTAATATTTAGTCAGCAGTGCTGTCGCGCCACTGAGTCAGAAGTGTAAATATTCAGAGGTTATCTCAGCTTAATTTGCGCTTGTGTTGAACTGAAACGCTCGTGCCAGAATATTCGCAACACACCACAGCTGTAATTCAATCTTAAATTGTCTCACTCCTTGCAAAGCTCCATCTTTCTGCAGGCGGCATGCGCAACGTCCTTGGCTCATTGCGCGACTAAATTAGACGCACACCAGCCTCGGGGATTCTTATGCAAATCACGCGATGGTGCCTTTTTGTCTGGCCGCGCAGAACACCTAATTTTTTTTGTTCGTTTTGTTTATCATCCTCGTCAGAATTCATTTTTTGCACATTGATTCAATTATTTTTTTTACTTTTATTTTCGCAGGATCACTTTTCAAAGAGAACAAAGCAGTTGTTAATCTTATTTTTTTTCCCTTAGATTAGATTCTTTTTTCTTTATATTGGCAAGATGAGGTTCGCCCTATATATGAAAACAATTTTGAAATAGGCCATTCATTGAAGGTGAGCCTTATACTCCAAAGCGCCTTATAGTGCGCAAAATATGGTCATTAACCATGGCCAGAAATACGGTGCAAATATGTCTGTAATTTGTGATTAAAAGTGAACATGTTGACAAATCTTTTGCGGGGCCAGCTGCTGGACATGAAAGTTTTCGTGGACACCGACTCCGACATCCGTCTCACACGCCGGCTGAAGCGGGACGTGTCGCAGCGCGGGCGGGACATCGGCGGCATCATCAAGCAGTACAACAAGTTCGTCAAGCCGGCCTTCGAGCAGTACATCGAGCCCACCGTGCAGCTGGCCGACATTGTGGTGCCTCGAGGTCCGCTCAACTCCAATGGAGGTTATTTCGCCATTTTGAAAAAGGCGGGGATGGTGTGATGAGACGCTCTTTGTGTCCGGGCCGCAGGTGGCGACAACTTTGTGGCGCTGGATTTGATCGTTCAGCACGTACACAGTCAGCTGGAGAAGGTACCGCCAAATATTCTGCACAACTTCCACCAAGCAGTACTTGAGTACCCTTTTCTTTGTGTGCGTATGTGCACGGCCCACCCACCCTGCCTGGCTGCGTGACCATCCCAGCGTGAGATCACCGTGAGGTACTAACTCCTACTTTGCTCCCCCGTTAAAACTTTTCAAATGAAAGCTGACACCAAGTCACTTAACTGGGTTTCAAACAGACGTTGAAACCAAAAATTCAACACATCACCGAAACTCCGTGTCGCCGAGGCATCCATTTGTGGCAGAGATTTTCTTTCAAAATGAATTCTGCCGACATGAACGCAAACTCCATTTCATATTTTTCAAAGTAGAAGTCTCCTAATAATGAAATCTCATGTCAGTCTTTCAAGCTAACATTGCTAACAAGCTAGCAATCCCAGGTTGGACTTTTAACATTGAATTGTCTTTTTAAACTTAGACTACCTGATGTTGAAGTGATCTTGAAGCGTGGTCGCCACCACTGGAGCATAAAGTAAGCTCACATCTTCATTAAAAATAATAATAATCATCAAACTGTGAGGGTGTCGCATTACTTCATATGTGGACTGAAAACGGTTAGTCTGGGCTGCTCCCTCACTTTAACATCAGCCTCCTTTTTTTTAGCTCACCTTTGCTTGAAATTTTGTAATTTGAACTGATGTTTTTGTTTGTTTTCCTTTTTGTGTCGATTGTGTTGTTGCGTGCTCAGAACGGTGCCTATGAGTGCAATCAATTATGACTTGGAAATAACATCACAATAATATTTAGACACCTTAGACCAGGGGTGTCAAACTCAGGTCCTGGAGGGCCGCTGTCCTGCATGTTTTCCAAGTCTCCCTGTTGCAACACACCTGATTCAAATGAACAGGTTCAATGTCAGGCTTCCGCAGAGGTTGCTGATGATCTGATCATTTGAATCAGGTGTGTTGCAACAGGGAGACTTGGAAAACATGCAGGACAGCGGCCCTCCAGGACCTGAGTTTGACACCTATGACTTAGACAATTTAGACGTAATTTGAAAAAGTTTCCAGGTGTCTATGACATGCATTTGGCTAAATAAATAAAATAGCGGTCTAACAGGATTGCATTGTTAGACACTTAGTGGTTCATGAAAATATATTTTTTTAAATTCAAGAAAATGGATGTCATTTTCAGGTCGGCTCTGGCGTCGGCTCACCAAGGTCAGCCGCTACCCGACACCCTGAGCGTCCTGAAGAGCTCGCCGCAGGTGCGCGGCATGCACACCATCATCAGGTAGCCAGCGCTCTGGCCAAAGATCACCTTTTGTCCTTTTTTGACTATCCCACTCCTCGCATCTCTTCTTTAGGAACAAGGAGACCAACCGTGACGAGTTTGTCTTCTACTCCAAAAGATTAATGAGGCTCCTGATCGAACACGCCCTCTCTTTCCTGCCTCTCCAGGTCGGTGTTTGTTTCGCTACGTGTCTTCATTTGCCCATTTAGCAGCAGGGATAACTAACTGCTAGTTTTTGTTTTGTTCATTTTTGGGTCTCCAGCCCGCATCTGTGGAGACGCCTCAGGGTAGCGTCTACCACGGCAGGAGGCTGAGCGGTAAAAGAGTAAGTAACTCTTTTCCTCATTAAAACTTTAGAGGGAAATCTAATTGTCACTGCAGCAATATTGTGCGACCGACAACAGCAAAAGAAGCATGAAGGGTGAAAATAAGTAGTCGTTTCCCGAGAATAAGACACACCGCAATACACTCCTTATGAATTTTGGCTTGATTTTCACTTCAAACATGATTTGTACATAGAAGAAAAAAATTGTTAATTTAAATTTGTTAAAAGAAGTCTTTATATCAAAAATTCAAGAAAAATGTATGGGCGTGCTTGAAAAGACACTGAAAGAATGAATATATCATGACTGAAAACATCCCGATTCATGCTTTTAGCCTTTTAAGTTGCACTCTGTATGAAATGCTCTTTTTCAAGAAAGGATGGTGTAATGGCGCCATCCAGTGGCTGTCAAAAATACTTTTTTTTCCCTGTTTATTTTATTATATTTTTTTTATTTTCTTGCTATATCTGCGATTTACACTCGCTTACGGCTGCAACTTAGTCCAAACACGGGCCAAAAATGAAAAGTCTCCTTCATGCATATGTTGGAGGAAAAAAAATGGGAAAGAGATCAAAGGTGACCATTCGATGAGTCAATGGACAGAAATACGGTCCCGCCCCGCACCCAAGCGACGGCCTGGTCACCAGTCAGTGCGTGGGCACCAATACACAAACCGTAGACAGCCAATGTCGCGGCAAATATCAAGCATTCGCATTCACAGCTGCATCCAGATTTGAATCGTGTTGCTGTTTAGATCACAGGCGTGTCCATCCTAAGGGCAGGCGAGACCATGGAGCAGGCACTCATGGCTGTGTGCAAAGATATCCGACTGGGCAAAATCCTCATCCAGACCAACCACAACACAGGTGAACCTGAGGTACGTCGCCTCTGAACCAACACCACCGCCGCCGCCATATCCTCATTGTATTCTGTTATCCCATTCAGATAAAATTTTGAATGATTAAAAAAAAAAAAAAAAATTTAAATGTATGTGTTGTGAGTGCAGCTCCACTACCTGCGGCTGCCCAAAGACATCAGCGAGGACTTCGTCATCCTGATGGACAGCACCGTGTCTACCGGGGCCGCGGCTCTCATGGCCATCAGGGTTCTGCTGGTGAGTTTGCTGATTGTGCTTCAAACTCCCGTCCAACAGGGGGAACCACCTGCGCCTCGAAGAAGAAACCAAACTGAGGGTTTGGTCGGGAATGGGAAGCACCAAGCAGGAGGGGGTGGGGGGAGCCAAGCAATGTTGACGAATGAATGAATGTTGTGAATTATTTTGTGTATTCTACGTTTGACGTTTGCGCTGATGTGGAAAGGACCACGACGTGGCGGAGGACAAGATTTTCTTGCTTTCGCTGCTCATGGCGGAGATGGGCATCCACTCGGTGGCCTACGCTTTCCCCAAAGTGCGCATCATCACCACCGCAGTAGACAAGGAGGTCAACCACGAGTTCCACATCATCCCCGGCATCGGTGAGAGACCCCACCCCCTTCCAAGAAAAAGAAAAAGCTCGATAACGTGATGGTTGCTTTGTTCACATTTTAAAACTCTCTCTCTCTCTCTCTCTCTCTCTCTCTCTCTCTCTCTCTCTCTCTCTCTCTCTCTCTCAGGTAATTTTGGCGATCGCTACTTTGGCACCGACGCCCCTTCCGACTGGTGCGAAAGTGACGACGGGATGGACTTGTGACGGGGGCCCGATAGCAAAACATCGCCACGCCTCCCAGGTCCACAAGACGCGTACCAACAAATAATGATTTAAAAAAAAAAAAAATCAAGTAATGTGTATTCATGTTCACATGCTTTGTTTTGATTATGTAAACAGCGCTTGACTTTAAAAGGGACAACTTTATTGAATGTTGTTGTGTTCAATCTACGTTGGGCTTCATCTTCAGCCCCATCAGGAGTAGGTGGCTCCATTCTTTAGTCCGGCCCATCGAGAATTTACATTATCTCCAGACTTTTTCAACTAAATCCATGTAGATTCTGCAGTTGTTTATGATGGAGGTTAGCATCTCTTTTGTTACCATAGCAACTCCGGATTACCTCTTTTAGTGGACCAGCCTGAACGGCTCCTCTTTTGCTTTAAACCCCGAGTTCTTCTAGCGTTTAGCATGTACGTTCGGTCATGCTAAACGCTTGAATATTTACCAGTGCCTATTTGTTGTACTTTCAGGAGCAATTCATAAAATTTTGATGACTTGAAAAATTATGAATAGTTTGGACATGAATTTCAAAACTATTTGTTTTTTGTTTACTTTTAATGTGTAGAATATATTTTATGGTGCCTTTCATGATAGTTGTGTGATTTGGAACTTTTACGACATTTTTCTATGAGCCAACATTTTGTTACAAAATGAAGGTCATTTGTGTAGATTCTGCTGTTAATTTTTATTTGATGCCTGTCGATATTGAGCCAAGATAGAAATTGAATGTTCTATTCTCTGCGTTTACATAATTTCAACTATTTGGAATGCCAACATGTTGCGACCATATTTGCTACCATTTTCAAGGTTTTAATTGTATTTTATAATTGACTGACTGACAGCCACATCCTTAAAGTGATGTTATATTTTATATGATGGCATTTATTTTTGTGAGACCAGAGCACACTGGAAGGAAATTTACCCCTTCTGAATTGTTAGTTCAATAAAACCTTTTTTGGTTAAAATTTTTTGTTTTATTTTTCATCACGTGCTCACCATTAAACTCAAAATAAATTTTCTTTTGACAAAACTGCTGTTTAAAAATCTGCGATATTGTCCACCAGGGGGCAGAACACTTTCCGAATACAGCGGAAGTGACGAAGTTCGCCTTGGCGTGTGGACTTCCAGTTTTGTAGGAAATAATTACAGCGGCATGTGCTGTGCAATTAAAAGTGCCGGTGTTTAAAGGTAGGCGCTCTTACATATTTTAACGCTTAGGTTAAGAACTCCGATTATTATTTTTTGCTGTTAATGAGAATTTCCTCTGTGGTGCATTAGAATTCTACGAAAGACTGAATTTCTACTTCCAATATAATACCACTTTGAATGTAATATGCCGTTGCTGTTGGTATCTGAATAAGCTTTGGACAGGTTTTTGCTTTATTTTTTGTGGCTTTTAATATTTTACAACTAATGAAAGTGTTGCATTGTAATTTTTTTTTCAAGTGTGATTCCACGGACTTTGCCGGAGACCGTTGAACGCATCATCAGCCCCAGCAGAGTGAGGTTTATCAGAGAGGTACGTAAACATTTCAATACTTTACAATGACGTTTATTCAACCCAGTGGTGATTTTGTCATTTGAACATTTAGAGCGAATTCCCAAATATAAAATTGGCTTCGTGCAGGCATTAATAGAATTCCCACTTGCGACGCTCTGGTGCAGCTTCGTGACGTTCCAGTTTTCGTGAAGCAGCACGTGAGTGACGCCGACATGTCATTCAGAAACACCAACATTTAAAGTCGGTCTATTGTCTTTGCAAACACTCGTTTGTCACAGGAACACTTTGTGTGCTAAATCAAAGTTTTGCTTGTATTGCAGTGAATCCATTTGTTCACCAGTCTAACAAGTTAAAGGAATAAACGACGTAACGTCTCTTATTTGCAGCCTATACTGACTGGAGTCACGTTGAGACGACTCAATTAAGTGTTCTCCTCAGTTTAGCGTTAGTCAAACACTTATGTCATCAGAGCTGCACTATAATTGAACATGAACATATGAACCTGTACTTAAAATATGTGTATGTGTTTTGTCGCCTATACAATGTTTTAAATTGTTAAGAAGATTATTTCATAAACTACATCCTCTTTTTTTTTCCCGAGTGTCACTTGTTCCAAAAAGCACGCATTTAATGACAATGTTATTGCTCTGTGTTCTTTTGTTTGACAGTGAGGATGGCGGGCCTGTGGAGGTCCTACCAGGCCCTGATGGCAAGGCACCCCTGGACGGTGCAGATTGTGACGGCAGGTGAGAACATTGCCTTGCACACGGACGCAGAAATGCAGATCTACCTTGACTTTCACCTCAACAGTAATGATCTTTAGAGAGTCAACAAAGGGGAAAGAACTTTGAACGCAACATGCGCGCACGTTTGTACACAATCATGCCCAGTGGCTGCGCCACAGATTAACATTCTCCAAGGATAAAGGTATTGTTACACGTCATAATCAAAGTCGGACATGGCACCAGTCCCCTCATATGAACTTCAAATAACATTTTGGAAAAATATGAAGATTCACAATTACTTTGACAGAAATGTGCTGTTTTTTTTTTTTTTTAATTGGTATCAGTTCAGTCCTCATGCTGTACACCTTTGGACCACTTGATGGCGCCACAGTATCTTACAGCTCTGGCTCAAATAGAATGTTTTTTATTGGGGGGGAGAGTATTAAAAAAATGATTATATAGACAGTCCCTCTAACTCTAACTGGACTCTTGTTTGTTGAATTTGTATTTTTTGTTTTTTTGTTTATTTCCAACATCTTTCAAAAATGGTTTAGCCACTTATGCTACTTGGAATAAGAATAATAATACAGAAAATATAGTAGTGAGGATCTGAGGGGAATGGAATCATCCTGTAATTGGCTATCATCAGATCAAAATTCCTTATGTGGCAAAGATTACATTTTACAGTTTGTTTGTTTTTTAATAAATCTGTGGTTATCCCATTAATATACAGGGAGTCCCAAAAACACTCTGTGATTTCTTGACGTTAAGATATCTCAAGCAATTCCAATATGTTGGTAAAGATTGAGTCCACAGATTCCTTATCACCAATACTTGAGGGCAAGACAAGAGGTGAAGCGGCAGTAAAACAGACCGAAATCCAGATTTCAGGGTGAAGCGGGGCAATCGGGACTCATGATCGTAAAGTCTTTTAATGTTCGTTCACCTGTGGTGTTTTGTTGTTCACGTGGAGGCCGGTGCGCGTTTGTGCAGGCTCTCTGGTGGGCGTGGGCGACGTCATCTCGCAGCAGGTGATCGAGCGACGTGGACTCGCTCAACACGATGCGCGGCGCACCGCCAAGATGATGAGCATTGGATTCTTCTTTGTGGTGAGGGTCCGAATCCCTGCCAGTGCATGTTCACATTTGGCTCTGTTGGGAATTATTCCCCAGGCACGAAATCATGAGGCGGCCATTTTGCAACGCATATTGAAAATGAGGTTAACGACCCTTGGTAACGAGGCTAGGTTTAGAATCTCATTCCATACTCCCTAATTACCATATAGGGAATTTTATTGCAATTAGTGGACAAAGTAAAAATCCCTTTTCCACAGTTGTTGACATTTTAAGCATTGCTTCCTGTGACTTCCTGTCTGAAGGGCCCGGTCGTCGGCAGCTGGTACAAAGTTCTGGACCGCCTGGTGACCGGAGGAAGTAAGAGTGCGGCCATAAAGAAGATGCTGATTGATCAGGTCAGAAGTTCTCATCACGCTGGACTCAATTAAAAAAAAAAAAAAAAAAATCAAATCAAAATAGAAGCCCAACAAATGATCATTTCTGTCTTTTTGTGTCCAGCTGTGCTTCGCCCCGTGTTTCTTGGGGGCCTTCCTGTCTCTGTCAGGAGTTCTGAACGGGCTGAGCGTGGAGCAGAACGTCGCCAAGCTGCGCCGGGTGAGACATTTGTCTTTTTTTTTTTTTTAACTACTTACTCCATACGTCCATTTTTTTTGACATAAGAGGAAAAACCTACACGAGCACGGAAGGAACAAACTCCTCACAGAAAGTTCGATGCCAGAGCCTCACGAGAACACAGCATGACGTATTGACCTAAGCGTGTCGTCCGACATAATATGGATACTTAACATTGCGTCTCACGTACAGTAGAACTTGCTGAACTCCTTTCATCGTTGCATTTTTTATGACCTGTCACTCTTTGTCTTTGTAATCATGCCAAAAAAAACAAAAGTAACTTCACCATTGCAGCCAATACAGAAGTGTTAGCTCACACTAAATGTGTGTGTGTGTGTGTGTGTGTGTGTGTGTGTGTGTGTGTGTGTGTGTGTGTGTGTGTGTGTGTGTGTGTGTCCGTGAGCGTGTTTGTATGCCAGCCGTTTAAACAGTGCTCTGCTCAATTATTGACGCTGGGAGGCGGGACACGTGACTGGTGATGTCACGCGGGACACAAAGCAAATGACAAAGAGGATGCTGATCAAACACACACTGGCGCTCTTGGAAATAACACGCACTTTGCTGATGTTTGACTGCCGGAAAATGGCCTCTGCTGATATTCACAGACGAACACTCGATTTGTTCCACATGAGACCTTTAGGTGGCGGTAATACGCATTACAAAGTTACCGTCAATCAACCGCGACGCAGGTCAAGCTTTTTTCAGGACTGGAGAGATATTATTTATTTGAGTTTGGATAAATTTTGATTTTGCATTGTTAAACATGGGAGGTGCACATGTTTTTGCCCACTCGGGGTTGCCATCCTCACAGTCGACTTTTTTTAATTGGGGCCTGCTTGGTGAGTGACATGGGTGTCAGTGATTGTGAGTGGAGAGTTACTTGGCTGTTAAATAGCTAACTCATTAAAAAATAAAATAAAATCACGACATGTTCCAATATAGGTGGCAGTAATTTTTATATTAGAAGTTGATCCTGCTTCGAGTAAGCTTTTTATTCACTGCCCCCACTTGGACCCATTGCAAGCACACTGTAGCCACCAACCCATAAAATTATTCAGATTACTGCCGTTCCAAATATTTAAACCCTCTGCTGTCGTCGGAATGTTGGAAACAGTTGCGTACGAAATAATGTGTACAGTGTTGCCTTTTGTGAAGACGCGTCCTTGAACGCAGCGTTTCACCGCCTCGTTGTAATATTGTTCGCCGTTCTCAAATCATGTTGACGTCTGCAGTGACGCGCGAAAATAATCCAAATAGAAACTGTCGGGTGATAATTAGAAACATGTTTTACTCTGAGAGCAAAGTCTTGCATGCTCAACTTTTCATTTTCTCCCGTACACGCCGTGACCTTCAACAGCTTGACATGCGCACCTTGCATGCACGCGTGTGTGTTAACGTTGTTATTGTGATGTCATCGCAGGACTACACAGACGCGCTTATCTCCAATTATTATGTAAGTTTTTCAGTCATTTGATTTCCTTCATTTAAAAGTCAGCGTTGTTGTCGATGTGTAATTTGTGTTTTGTGTCAGCTGTGGCCGCCGGTGCAGATCGCCAACTTCTACTTCATTCCACTGCATCACAGGTCAGCATCGTACTCCGCGTTCTCCGTTTTAGTGCACCGTGCCCCTTTGTCTCCTCACAGATCAAATTTGTCTCGCACAACAACACACATCGTAATGGTAGCTGAGCCCAATGCCGTGCGTTATTTCCAGAAATGTAATTATAATCCACAGTCTCCACTTTGCTGCAGTTGGCCCGTTATCTCGTCTAGGATAAATCAACAGGCACGGCAATGTTAGCTGATCTCATTGCCGTGCCTCAGCTTTGGTAATGCAGTGTTATAGTTCACGGGCTCCATAATGCCCTTAATTTTGTTGTTCTACTTCTTCCTTTCATAACTTTGCTGCTGTGAATTGGGAATTTCTCCATTGCGAGACTAATAAAGGTTTTCTTATCTTATCTTATCTTATCTTATCTCTTCATGGAAAAAAATCCATCTCACCAAAGAGTCCTCACTGACCCTGATGCTATGTGTTAGTTTTGGAGACTCTCCACCTTTGATCCACTTTGCCCTTATTCTCCTCTAAGGATAAAATTATCCCACGAATGATCAATTCGGGATAATTCGGGATATTTTGGAGTGTTTTGAATTTGAAGAACTTTGTGACACTCTCAGGTTGGCCGTGGTGCAGGTAGTGGCCGTGGCCTGGAACTCCTACTTGACCTGGAAGGCCAACATCGTGTGATCCTCCACGACCACCATTTTGTTTATTTTTTTGTTTGTTGTCGTTGATGCAACCGCTGCTCATCATCATTCAACTTGACCAGGCGGACTCACGGCTCCATGCCTGGATGGCACATTTAAGGCAAATAAGTATGGAAATTACACGCACGCACATTCACTTCCTGGTTTGTGTGTCACAAAACAGTCTTAAGTTTTAGTTGTTTGTGTTCATGGTCGTCGTTGACAATTGCTGACACTGTGAATACTGCATATAGACAGAGGTCAATGTGAATAAAAAAAAATTATATATATTATCTACCTGAAATAGGTTTTGCAGCAATCCTTTAAAAGAAGAAAAAAAATGCCCATTAAAGCCATTAAAGCACATCTCCACACTCAAACTCACGCACATGTACTCGGACACACATCATCTCGCTGATGAAAAATTAATTTCTCTTTTAAGTGCTCTTATGTAAATGTTTGGCAGGCGCAATAATAGTGAGACTGATTTCTTTGTGTGCATGAGTGTGTATCAGCAAGTGAGATTCTGCGTGCGTGCGTGTGAGAGAGATTCGACACTCGGGCAGGAAAATGCTGCCACGTCACGTGATTAATTACGTTATAGCAGCTCATCTTTTAGATTGTAACCGAAAATATAATATGTAGCCAAGATGTGCTCTCGTAAGTGTCAAGGCAAGGCGAACAAAGTGTGTGGTGGCGGGGAGGGAAGTATTTGTCAGTGCCAGTGACATCACTGACCGTGTGTATAAAACTCGGCGTCCTGACCATCCATCGTGCACACGACCCTCAGCGCACCTCAGCTGAAAGCCGAGCCTGCACAAGCAAGAGGAACATCACAGGTAAGCTGCTGCTATTTTTTTTTAATAAATTTTTTTGCGCCCATATATTGCAATTTTATCACGTTGGAAAATAAAGTGTAATTTGAGTCAAACTAACAAAAAAACATTTTTAGGATCCTTGCAACTGTTTGCATGTTATGAGAAAAATGGATCTGATGAGAAGATACAAATTGGCAGCGTTTTGACAAGAAAATATGAAGTCAAAGGGTTATTGGGTTTGATGTATTTTGAAACCAAAGGTCAAAACATTTGTTTTATAGTCATTTGTGTAGTGATGGTTGGATGTGGCAAAATTCTACAAAAGTTCCCCCTCAATATTTTTTAATTAAAAAAAAAAACATTTTTTATTTTAATATTTTTACATTCTCCGGCTTTTAATAGTCTGCCCTTTCCCACCAGTTGTTGACATTTTTCTGACTTAATTTATTTTTTTTTTTTTTTTTTTTTTTTTTTTTACCTTTTGCGTACGACCAAACTTTAGTGAGCTAAAGTACTTCAGTGACTTTATCTTTATTTGGTAAGAACAATACCTTACTTGACTGAATCAAGTTAATCAATGATCATTACTTGTGTGTGTGTGTGTGTGTGTGTAGACATGAAGTCCTGCTCTTTCCTGCTCTCATCGCTCCTGCTGTCGGTCCTGCTCACTCCGCCCCCTGTCTCCTCCGCCGGGCGCCCGCGGACCCCTCAGCCGGGCCAGACACTCCTCAGGGCGGCCACCGGCGCCGACATCACCACCGGCCGTCTGCTGGGCTTCGGCGTCCCGCGGCTCTTCCTCGGGGGGATGCCGAGGGAGGAGGAAGAGAGGACTGATGATGATGATGATGACGAGGAGGTAGAAGAGATTGGAAATGATGAAGAGCCGGTCAAGTTCAAGACGCGCAGGGAGTATGCGCCGCTGTCCATCGACCTGACCTTTCACCTCCTCAGAAACATGATCCACAATGCGCGCACGGAGGAGCAGAGGCTGCGCGCGCAAGTCAACCAGAAATTGCTCGACGAGGTCGGGAAGTAAAAAGGGCGGTGAGGTTTTCTGACGCCACTTGCGCTTTCACGCAACCACTGTAGTAAAACTAGCGAAATATTGTAAATAATAGAAGCATTTTAGTGATCTTGTAGAATGGAGTGGCGGCACCTTGAAACCAGCGAGTGACCTTGACGATGTGTCTCACATGGCGTATGACGTCATCATGATTTTTGTTCCACCGACAATGTTTGGTCCTTGATTGTTTGTACTCACATTAGAAAATGGAAAAAAAAACTGGTTGAATCTTATCACATTGTCATTTATATTTTGTAATAAAACGTTCGAAATTCTTGGCTCACTCAAACGTTGATTTTTGTTGTGTCAAAGTTTCATTCATCCCATAATCAAATCCTCTTTTCCCACTGAAATTAATAGAGATGCTATTAATCCATTACACACACACCCAATTGCAAAAATTGTGTTTTTATTAAGAGAAATATGTGGATAATATTTTCTTTAATAAAAACAACATTCAAAAGAAGGTTAAGGATTAAGATGTTTGTGTATCATTATGAATTCATTACCCCACCTTCTGGTGTGTGACTACATCATGACACAAACGAAGACTTTCGTGACTACTCCAAGAGACTCAATAAGCTACAATCGTATTTGAGTTTGAGTTTCTTGATGTCTATCCGCATGTGTTGCCGCGCTGTTTGTGTTCAAGTATCCGTCGCTTGGCCCGTATTAGCCTGAAGCTAGCGGAAAGCAAAGGCGTGTGGCTGTTTAAAATAAACATGGAAGATTTAAAAGTGAGAGTCTCGAACCTGGTTTGAAACAAGAAGATATGACTTTTTTTTATTAACAATACTTCCATATGCAAAAGAAAAATACACACAACAAAGAGTGATGACAAGTCAAATTACTGCAAAAACCTCATGATAAATCCACGAACCCCTTCAGTCAGATCGGGGACCCTTGTTGTGAATGCAGGGACCTCATCAGGGACTTCCTGGAGTGAAGGAAGCTCATGGAGATCAGGGACCTTAGGGAGCCAACGTGGGTTTTGACCTGTTGAAGGGAAAAAATAGGAAATGGATGTTGAGTGTTGACGTATATTGTTTTTTATTTTGAAGAATAAAACAGGAGGATGGACGTCGGCCATTTGAAAGCGAGTGCACACCTCACCTGCTTGTCTGCTCGGCTCACAACATGCGGGTGGAGACTGTCAGTCCACTTCGGAGTCGTCTTCGAGGTTGTCTTCACCTGTAAGACAACACACACACACACACACACACGCACACACACACACACACACACACACACAAACACACACACACACACACACACACACACACACACACACAGTATGTAGGTGAGGTAACTCATATCCCAAAGGCACCGTTGTGGCAATATGATGCGGAGTGTGTACAAACCGTGTTGGAAGTGGATGTCGTTCAACATCTCTGCGATGTCGTCCACGTCGATGACAAAATGGCTCATGTTGTCGAAAGACAACTGCGGCCGCAGGACGTTGGCATCACGAGCGCACGCCGACATCCTGACAGCACACACACGCACGCACACACACACACACACGCGAAGTTGTGCACAGACCTCTACTGAACAACTCCACTGACCTTTTTTTTTCTTCAATCTTGCACATGACAAATTCGCCACGTATTTAAAAACTAAAACTAATGCTAAAACTCATAAAACCCAAACTAAAATGAAGCATTTTTGAAAATAATCAAAGTTAGAAAAACTAAGAACTAACTGAATTTGAAAAACAAAAGTCAAAACAAAGTAACAGTGATGTCATCCTAAATTATTATAATAATGACATCATTGTAGCACACACACACACACAGATGCATACACACTCGCACTACACAACACGACGCCCGTCGCAACTACACGATACAACAAAACACACAACTTACTTGTCCAGTATGACGTTGACATTCTGTGAAAAAAGATAAAAATAAAAAGTGTCATGAGGACAAAAATATTGAGACGCCACTCAGGTGTAAACCTTCGGATGCAATTAGGACAAAAATATCGGGAGACCCGTGACGGAACAATTAAGTATGAGGACAAAAGTGTGAGGGGAGGACGGGGGGAGATCATTAGAATGCAATTAAGGTTTTGTGAGGACAAAAGTATTGAGACACTTTGAGAACAAGTTTTAGTGGAGACAAAAGCATTCGGACACAACCTGGACAAAAGTAGAAAACTTTCAGGACAACACGTGGCCAAAAGTATTGGAACACCATGAAGAAAAGCAATGGAACGTAACACGAGTCTTACTGCTTTGTGACTCAGCTAGATGGATGATGGCATGGACAGATGGACAGACGACTAGGTATTTAGAAGACTGGCCTGGACAAAGACCGCTGCGTGCGTGTGGTCCGCCGCGTGCACGGCCGTCTCCACCAGCTCTCTCCAGTCCTCCAACCTCTGCCCATGCTCACCGATGAGTTGCCGTATACGCTGCAGCTCATCGTCTTGCTCCCTGGTGATCAGGCCCACCAGCTGCTGCTTGCGCTCATCCAAGATTGCCGTTAGAGCCTCAAACTGGCTGGTGATTTCCTCGCGGCGGTGGTGAGCGTTCTCCTGAGACCAAATTTATACACTGCCTGCTTGAGATACGAGTCACCTGACTTACATGCTTGGCGCATAAATATGAGATACAAGTCCGCTTGTGTCGTGCTAACAGCGAATACGAAACACTACAGACTAGCTAACGAATAGAAACTACAGAGTATGTTGTGTTAAAACCCTTTTAACAACGGATATTTGACCACAAGGGTTGGCGGGAGTGGTTGAAAAAAAAAATTTAAGAATACTCGCAGGCATGTATTCTTTATCCTCTGTGAAGACTGACTAATATGATTGCAGCTTCCTGAGGAATTATAATTGTCTCCTTGTATAGCTGTATGTCTGTACTAGTAGGCCAGAAGGAAATGCACAATTTAGTGTGTGTGTGTGTGTGTGTGTGTGTGTGTGTGTGTGTGTGCGTGTGTGTGTGTGTGTGTGTGTGTGTGTGTGTGTATTACTTGGACAGCGTTGCACACTCCCTCCATGTGCGTGATGGCAGCCTGGATGTTGTCATTGCTGGCAACAAGTCCGGCGATGCTGTCACTCAATTCCGTCTGCAAACATTCACACACACACACACACACACACACACACACACACACACACACAAAAAGTTCGCACATTTCATTTGGCGCCCCTAGAGGACAATAATAATTCTATACGGCTGTTTTCGGCTCGTCATCAAGTTGCGCGGCGTCTTCATCTCCAATTCAGATTGAGTGAATCAGAACGCGCGACGGCGGCCAAATGTCAACGCGGCCATCTGTACATGCAAAGTTTTGTGTCTTTGTGTGTGACTTCATCGCCACTGACCTTCACAACTCCCCTTTTATATCTTCATGTTTGGTCACATTTGTTATGTTTTTTTTTTTTCTCCAAACTTTGATTTCAGTTACTCATTGTGTGTTTGGACGGGGGAGTGGCGTCCTTCAGGGTTTTATCCTCGGACCACTGCGGATCTCTCAGGTGCCTCTTTTATATTGAGATACTTTATGTCCCATCATGCTTTGTTTCATTTCATCGTGTCTCTTTATGTTTCCAATTATGTCCCATTTTGTTCCACAGGGTCCCCTATATTGTATCCCATCATGTCCGATATTATTCCCCCCCACCCCTCCCTCTTATTATGTTCCGTTGTATATGTTTGCTACCTTGAGTCTGACATAGACGCTGCTGAGCGGCGCCACGTCACACTCTTTGTGGCATCCGAACACTTTGCACATGGAGCACGTCGGCATCTGACAGGACAAACAGTAGATGTTGATCTTCTCGTCCTCGTGCTCCTCGCACATCAGCGACTCCGGCTTCACGCTGGACATCCTGTCCGGACAGGAAGTCCAAGGTGAGTTCAAGATTCCGTTCAGTGCGCCGTTGTCAAAAATAGGTAAGAACACACATCGTTCATGGAGTGTCAATGTGAGAACTCTCATCTGTTGAATTGGCTTATGGCTTATATTGTGAGAAAGATGAAGGGAAAGGACATTTGAATCAATGTTATGTGTTATGCATGGCCAATGAGAACAATCTCGTCTATTATGGGATGGCGGGGCCCATCTGCAAAGACAGTCAGCGTGAACGTGACACACACATCCTCATCATCATCACTCTGTGACTACAACACACACACACACACACACACACACAGACAGGCACACACGAGAGAGGCTTTTTTTTTTTACACTTTTGCGTCAACTCTTTGCCGTCAAAACTACAACTGAACAGGCCAGTCTGACTAATTATCATACAGTATTGATCATAGAATGTTTCAATGATGTCACAATATTTACAGGGCGCATCCTTTGCGAATGGAATGTTGTTTCTTCACCAATTACACGATGGAGTTTGTTCCTGACATGTGGTATTACGGGTATTCGTTTCATTTTCATTTTGAAAAAAAAAATGTATCTTACACGTTATTCGTTTACCGATAATCACATTTTGCTCTAGTATTTACTTCGGATGAAAGAATTTGAGGCCAAAGGAAGGCTTTTTGTCTAGTTCAAATCATCTAAAGGATTCCTGAGTAGATTATTAAATATTCTTCAGAAAATGTCAACAGTGACGAGAAATAAATTGGAAACAAAAGACGTTGCAATGCTTCCCTCTAGCGGCACTATCGGTTATTACAACTATCTAACCTCCACATGATTGAGTTGGTGACACAGCAGATCATGATATTATTTGTCTGTCATACAGACTCTATTTGACAGAAGATCAATTTGAATTGTCGGTTCGATGAGGAATATTTTTGTCTGTAAGGAGTTCTAGTTTTACTCTTGCAGTTACTACGTTTATTTTATTGACTTCTTTATCCACTCCACTGTGACATTTGAGAATGTGATTGTTTTTTTTGTTGTTTTTTTTTTTTCCAGCTTTTACTTAAGGAGCCGACCTGGAGTCCTGTTGTCTCCGGTACGCGTCGATGATGTTCTCCACCAGCAGATTCCTCTGCAGACTGTAGACTCCGTGGCGGTCCAGGACCACCTCTTGGCGACACGACGGGCAGCGGAAGCGGCTTCCCACGCTGGTCGAGCTGCGGGACTGCCATGACGGGTTGGACGACTGCAATGTCAGAGGTAGCGTACCTTAATTATTACCATTGTGCTATACAATTAAAATGACGTGAGTGAGGAGGAGTGGTATCGATTTCATATTTTGCAGATTCCAGTAAGGTTCATAAAGTGTCTAATTAATGTTCTTCAAAATGGTGGTGACCAGTAGCCTGATGTAAGCGGCAAGCACATGTTTTCTGGGTCTTGTCATGTGACCTTGGCAAACGAAGCCGTGATTGGTCATGACCTGGTTTTCACAAAAAAAAACAGTCACTCAAAAGGTTCATGTTATTGAAGTAAGATGTTTTTTTTCTGCATATTATTCCTAAATTATTTGGGTTAATCACGTTGTCGCAAAGGGCAGTGTTCATATCTGCCATCTAGTGGCGATTGGTGATATTACAACTTAAAACTGCAGTCAACAAGTTTTTTGTTTTTATTTATTTATTTATTTATTTTTAGGATTTTTGGGGGTTTGTTGCAATAAATGAACAAATAAATACATACATAAATAATAAAGGGGACATTGATAGTGTTATTGAGGGTCACATGCCGCCATTTGCCCATCCCTCCCCAAAAATAAAATGAAAGGAATTCCCTGGAGGCATTTTTGTTGCTTATATAATGCTTATAAATGATATAATATATAATTGATGCGTTATTAGTTAGGAGAAGCAAAGCGAGGTCGTCACAGGCCTGGAAGACATCGTTGGCGCACTTCCTGCATAGGTTGTGCTGGCAGGGCAGGATGACGACAGGCTTGGAGAACATCTCCAGGCAGACGGGACACACCAGCTGCTTTTGGAGGTTCTCCATGTTCGAACCTCCGTCGCCCGTTGAGCCGCGACCCGCCGCACTTCCCGCTGCCTGAAGGGCAAAGTTCATCAAACGGTGATGCAGTCCAAAAGACAAAAAGCACAAGACAAAGTTTCCAGAAGCTTTTCGAGGATCATACAAATTCACTCAGTTGACTATCGGTTATTTCCACTGCCTCACCACGCTGTGCAGAGACCAAAGACCTCTGAAGTATCTATCTGACCGACTGAGTGACTTTTTCTATTTTTAGCTGCTGTGTTTGTTGTGGATTAGGTTTCTGCCTAAAGCACATTCCAGTGCAAGTCCAAAAGTCCAGGCGTGGGCCACACGTCAGGGTGGGGTGCCGAAGAAGCGTGCGGCTGTGGGGGGATTTAACAATGCTGCTTGGGTCATGCAAATGGTCGCCACCGATTTGAAGAACATTAATCCATCCATCCATTTTCTAAGCTGCTTATCCTCTAAGAGTCGCGGGCGTGCTGGAGCCTCCCCTACCCGTCTTTGGACAGAAGGCGGGGTACACCCTGAACTGGTTGCCAGCCAATTGCAGAGCACACATCGACAAACAACCATCCGCGCTCACACTTATACCTAGGGACAATTTGGAGTGTTCCATTAACCTCCCATGCATGTTTTTGTAATGTGGGAGGAAAGCGGAGTACCCACAGAAAACCCATGCAGGCACAGGGAGAACATGCAAACTCCACACAGGAAGGCCTGAACCGGAATCGTATTAACTCAACTTTAATTGAATATGGTAATTCGGTGGCTTGGTGATGGAATTCTTCATCAACTTTGGGGGCTTCCAAGAAACATCATCATGTCATTATGATAATACACTCATTCAGTATTTGCTTACAATTGTTTGTTAAATGACGATTATAATCGTGATTTTATTCTTATTGTCCCTTTCGTGAAATGGGAAGATGTTAAAAAACAAAAAACAAACAAACAAAAAAAAAAAACAAATTCCAGATGCAAGGAAATTGTTACCATACGGTTATTGCTGAGTAGTAGCCCCGCCCTCCATGACGATTTGTGGTGACGACATATGCGAGAAAAGCACTTTGTCAAGTGCCAGTTGTACCAGAAGTACGTGATACTTCCCTCGGGTTTAAAAAAAACACGTGAGTCATTATTTGTGGCATGAAAGTTTAGAATCCACAAAAACAATGACTGATGATAGAAGAGGATGGAGCGAATAAGGTAAAATTAATTGTTGCTCACTTCAACCACATGTTCGGTGAGTAAAACAGGGGACTGCTTTTTATGTTGAAAATCCATACCGGAAATACTATATCCAACTTGACTGTTCGAACGGTTCGAACCGCGGGCCGAGTTCCTCCTCTATGTCGGCCGCACACGTGGGATATCCTTGGCATCCTGCGGTTCCCCTCACAAACCGGGAAAGATCGAACCAAACGACCCGCTCATCGATCCCCGCCTCTCGGATCCCTTTGACCGGCTTTATCCACCATTTTCCCTCTAATATTCACCGAAGACGACCCCGGGTGGTCGTTTCCCCTCTTACTTTGAGCATCTTTGTTCCGTTTGTAAGTTTCACGTGGAAAACCGCCGGTTCGTGTTCGTGGCCACCAGCAACTAGACGCGACCGAGGAGTGGAACCAAGATGTCCGAGAAGACCACCACGGCCACCCTGATCCTGGAGGACGGGACGCGGTTTACGGGCAGCGTTTTTGGTGCTCAAGTGTCCGTCTCTGGCGAAGTTGGTACGTGAGACCTGGCCTCGTTTGTTTTTCAACAAAATTAATATTTTCCTCGATATTTTGTTCGCCACGCTGCCAGTGGCGGACCTAGACTTTTATCCTTCGTTGGTACATGGGGTGGCCAAGGGGGTCTGCAAAAGAAAAACTTGGAAAAAGGTTCACGATGAACATCCCATTTTTGTATTGAGTAAAATGTCCTAACGTGTCCCCCACTATCTCTGCCAGTACACGTTGTTGACCTATATTCCACGAAGTCACCTTGACAAACCTGTCTTTTGACTTGCTGGAACTCGTCTAATAAGTGTTCTGCTTTGCCTATTTTCTATTTATTTATTTTTTTTAATTTTTCTTTTTAATTCACCACATGTACCAGAGCGAGCGTCAACATCCGCGTCATGCTTGAAGTGACTGACTACATTGCGACACATTGCGACACAATCTCAAAACATGATGCCAATTATGCGACACTTTTGTTACTGGGAGACAAGAATTGATTTACCAGCATGTTTTGTTGTTATGCTTCTAAATAGCAGTGGTCTACACATTCACTGTGAACTTAATCTAATATTGTGGTTCTCCTGAGAAACTGAGTAAAAACTGTTTTAGTCAGGACTCTTGAGACTAGTTGTGTCATTTATGTCCTGTAGCAACTTTGGACTACATGGGATATTGGAAGCATTGTGAAATTGGCCTTAATTTAATTCAAATCCAGGACAAGTGTGATAGAAAAGGGATAGAGTCGAGAAGTGCAACTATCCTCACCAATTCTTTTTAATTTCTCACTCATAGTGTTCCAGACTGGTATGGTGGGCTACCCTGAGGCCCTGACCGACCCGTCGTACCGCTGCCAGCTGCTTACTCTCACCTACCCGTTGGTGGGCAACTACGGCGTACCAGCGGACAATGAGGGCGCTTTCGGCCTCAGCAAGGTCCTGAAAGATGACGCCACATTTGTGTGCAGAAGATATTTGTAAGGCATAAAAGTCACGTTGTTGCTGTGTTTTTGTTTTTTTTTCCCACAGTGGTTCGAGTCGTCAAAGATCCACGCCGCTGCTCTCATCATCGGGGAGCTGGCGGAGTGTCCGAGTCACTGGAGCTCAGTCAAATCCCTGGACCAGTGGCTCCAGGAGCAAGGAGTTCCAGGACTCCAAGGTAGGAAAGTCACAGAAGTCAGTCAGTCACTCTTGACAAAGGGAGTTGGCGAATACATGAATAATTATATCTTTAATGATAAGATTTGCTTTGAGCTTGTTGTGTCCTGTCCAAGGCATCGACACCCGCTGCCTGACCCAAAAAATCCGCGAGAAAGGGACCATGTTGGGGAAACTCGTTTTGGAGGGGACACCAGAGGACAGCGTTCCCTTTGACAATCCTGACAAAAGGAACTTGGTCCAGGAGGTGTCCATGAAGGTAAGGCATTTCCTGACCACATAAATCATTTAAAAAAAAGTTCTTGTTGGAGCCAATAGTCTTCCATCTTGACGCACTGCATTGTGGGTCACATGGCTTTCCTTGTGTCCCAAATTGTATTGAGGCAATTAATCTGCTGGCCTGTTCTACATATAGGCTGATATTCGGTGTTTTCAAAATAATAAGGTGATATCTCTTATTTTCTCATGAAATAGTAAATACTGGAGGTAAAGGTCATGCGAGCGTTAAGTGACCAAAAAAAGAAGTTATTTACATTTTTTCTAATTTATCTATTTTTTGAGGGGTGGGGTTGTTTGTTTTTATGATGCACCAATATATTGCTTATTGGATTTTTTTTCCTGCCAAATATTGGGATTGGCATCACCCTTAAAAAAATCCACCTTGGTTGGTCCCTAGCACTAATCCATATTTCAGGCCATAAATTATGTAAAAAATGGTTCAATCCTTTCTTTTTGGTCCAGGAGCCGCAGTTATTCAACCCCGGCGGTAGTCTCCGGGTCACCGTGGTGGACTGTGGCGTTAAATACAACCAAATCCGCTGCCTGGCCGAGCGAGGGGCCCGCATCACTGTTGTACCCTGGGACCACCCTTTGGACAGAACAGGTCTACATGACATTCGCGTTCCTGGCTCTTGAATTCAGCCCTTGTTGATTGCTCATGCATTTTCTTGTTTTTTGTCGGCTCCAGAATTTGACGGTTTGTTCATCAGCAATGGTCCCGGTGATCCGCTTCTCTGCCAGGCCACCATCGACAACGTGCGGAAGGTGGTGAACGTGGATGACCCCAAGCCGGTTTTCGGCATCTGCCTGGGACACCAGCTGCTCTCTTTGGTCATTGGAGCAAGGACCTACAAAATGAAGTCAGTAACCACTTGATAGCGAAGGGTTGTTTCTTTAGCTGGGCACTTACTGCATCTTACGTTGGGCCGTTCGATTCTAATCAGCTGTCAACTTTACCACCTTTCTTTATTTGTGTACACAATGCATAACGGCACAATTTATTTATTTTTTTCCCCCCTTCAAAGGTGCTGTTACATTTTTGACACCTTTCTTTATTTGTGTACACAATGCATAACGGCACTATTTATTTATTCCCCCCCCAATCCAAAGGTGTTGTTACATTTTTGGTTGTTGAGCTAGAATGACGTGCGACCCCGTGCATGTCCTCAGCGACCTGCTTCGCTCAGTCCTGGTGTGAAATGCGTCATGTCGTCGCTCTCAGCAGCTGTGCGTCCGTGTTTTGATTAAGGCAGAGCAAACAAAGCGAGATGAGCCGCTTCTGAAAGCGACGGCTGTTTTATCGGGGGGCGTCCAAGGTTACCAATGCCAACAAATGTTCGCGGAATGACAACTCGCAGGATGTCCTTGTGGTATTATGTCAATAAACCAGGGCTCGGCAATGTATAGCTTGCGGGCCAGATGTGGCCTTTGAATTATCACAAGTTATCAGGAGTATGAGTTGCATTTTCCTACAATTGGTTAAAAGTTTTTTGTTTTTTTTTTCATCTTCTATTAGTTTTTATGAATGTACTCATCTATTAATGTGGCAGGTACGGCAACCGTGGCCACAACCAGCCTTGCCTCCACAAAGGCACCGACCGCTGCTTCATCACCAGTCAGAACCACGGCTTCGCCGTGGACCCCGACACGCTGCCGAGCGACTGGGACGTCCTTTTCACAAACGCCAACGACCACACCAACGAGGGCATCGTGCACAACACGCAGCCGTTGTTCAGGTACGCCAACGAAAAAGCTTCTTTCCTCTCTTCTTTCCTGAACGATAGCTCAAAATATTTGTTTCCGCTCTAGTGTGCAGTTCCATCCCGAGCACACGGCCGGCCCGACGGATCTGGTGGGCTTGTTTGATGTGTTCCTCGACACTGTCAGAGACTACAAGGAGGGCAATACCGACAAATCCGGTAACCTATTATTATTTTTGCTGCTGAGGCATGTGCTTGCAAGCTGCAAATATTTTTCCATAGCTGCCTCAGCGCGGGTTAAGTTAACTATTTAAAAATAAATAAATAAAGAGCCCTTTGGGGAATGTTAGATTGAGCAACATTTGTAATTTATTAGTGATTGATTATTTCTATGGAGGGTTCTAACCGACAGAAGCGAAAAATTTTTTAAAAACTCATTTGGACATAAAAGATTTAGTGCCCAGCCAGAGCGAGCATCCTTGTGACATGATTCCCCGTTTTCTTTTCCACAGTGAAACAACGTCTGATGGACCATCTCACCTACTCGCGTTCCTCCAAGCTCGAAGAGATATACCGACCGAGGAAAGTCCTCATCCTGGGCTCCG